TCGTGCCAGGGGCTACCATCAACTGGATGGTGCTTTCAGTGGTCGTGCCAGGGGCTACCATCAACTGGATGTTCCTTTCAGTGGTCGTGCCAGGGGCTACCATCAACTGGATGGTGCTTTCAGTGGTCGTGCCAGGGGCTACCATCAAATAGAATATTTGGTAGAGTATCGAAGAGAAAGATATTCTGGTAGCAACTCTGCAATGGCCTTTTTTGGTCTACCTGTCCTGCTTGTCTTTCCCTCCTGACCCCCTCCCCACACAGCGCGCTCTTTCCCTCCTAACCCCCTCCCCACACAGCGCGCTCTTTCCCTCCTGACCCCCTCCCCACACAGCGCGATTTATTAACTTAATTCGACAGGAATCCCGTGGAGCGACCATCGTATGAGGTTTATCTTTTATTTGTGTCATAGTGTGCTCTTTCTGGGCAAAGCCATTAACAAAATCCAAATCATTTCAGCGGTAGCACAGTTGTTAAATATCGTCTAGGGCTACGAGGGTGCATTTCACTCTCGATCACATAGCCATGATGCACATTCCGCACTGTGCATGAAATTTAATGTCTCTGGTGAGTCTTTCGATGTGTTTGGTTCTTACAAAATCTTAAAATACAAATAACCTCAAAAAATGACATCAAAACACTCAAAATTACACCGTATCTCAATACATCAGCAACTTGAATTCTTGCTTTAAATGCATTTTTTTAGCTTAGAAAGTTTACAAGATCAGAATAAGACCAATACTATGTACTAACGGGAATACTTAGTGATACTAAGTCAAGCGACGAACTGCCTCCATCTATTTATTTGACACGAAAGGAAAAGCTTATTCGTGCATTAAGTTGAATCGAACTATTCTTCAGTATTAGTATATAAGTTCATCCAACGGTAGCATCTCATCTAGACAGACGGGTACAACTTGGGATGCACACCCTATGGAAATTACTACACTAAAACAGCTAAAGCCCGGAGAGGATCAAAGACATGCAGTGTCTACTTGTCTCTATCTATATTTTAACATTTGTTATCATGACAGATATGCCTTCCTTAGGTCAGGCTTATAAAACATTGATTTGTTAATAGTAGATTTGAAAATGTTTCTAAATTTGTATGAGACTGTATTGTACGAACCCTCATCCATCTTTGCTGTTTTTGATGGTGAAGCTAGTTTTGTCTATCTATTCATGTAGTCAACTTGTCACACTTAAAAAATCATTAAAGTTAGCTTACATGCATTCAAATCGAGCTTTGAGCAAACTATTACTTGACGTTTCAGCGACCAACTCCCTCAAGAGCAATCGCCCGACTAAGCCTTTTAAGGCTTAAAATGCCCTTTGTATAGTGATAGCAAGCTCTTTGATTGGTTCTGAACAGTGCTATTGAAGTACACACGCACGGAAGACGCTATTCAACCTTTCTCGCGACCTGATTGGTCAGAACTAGTGCGCGCAGAATATTTTTTAGAATTTCTGTCATTTGAATTTAATTGTAAAAGTATCCAACCAGAGACAAAGAGCCACTGTATTTCGTACTGCGGCTTAAGGCGCCAAAAAGAGGGACGTTTCAATTATCAGCGCACTTTTTTGGAAAATTCTAGGCCGACTTACACTGAATTTGAACTTTCCAGAAACTTCGTGCAAAGTACAACAGAAAATCACTTAAAACCATACAAAGCGAGTACTTACAATTCTGGGCCAGCATAGTGAAAACATGTCGATAAAAAACGTTAATGAACTTCTTATACGAACAACATCCCAAGAACACGACATTTAGATTGAAATATCTCAGTGTCGTTACAAGATGGCTTCGGCTTAAAACGCACTTTAAATCTATTACGGGTTATTTTTCGAAACCGTTTTCTATAAAAAATAGATTTTAACGTTTGCTTCCTATAGGATGCGCACGACCGATGCACAGTAACAAGGGTCTAGTACTACGTGAAATATAACAAATAGATTCTACCTTCTTCGTGCATGTCTGAACGACAGTCACTCCACAGTCACTCCACAATTTGACGTCATCTGTCTATTTGAGAAAACAGACGAGCGGAAAAATGGAATCTATTTGTTAAATAATGGAGAAGTCAGGAGAATTGCAGAGTTAAAACGCCGATCTGTATTCGTTATCTGTCTTTCACATGCAATCAATGGACAATCAATGTCGAAAGAAAAACAAGTTGAATACCTCGGTAATTCACATTATCTCTAAAATGCAGGTTCGTTCCTTTTCCACTAAAAGGTCTAAAAAGCAATCTACTTCCCGTCAATTTCTTGTGTAAAGGTACCGAAATTAACAATATCTTTGCGAAAACACGATAATTTGTTAATTCAACGGCAATTTAGCACTGTTCTTTACCGATAATCTCTTCACCCWGAGGGCATATCTGATGAATTGTCTATTTTCCTTCATAAGTACTACAGAGGCACTTAATTTTTTTACTGGTGTAGAGARCAACAAGAATTGTCGAATTCTGTAAATATAAGACTATTAGAATACCCCTCCCTACATCATAGGGTAAGGCACTTCCTGGAAAACGAGACTGCTSCCTTTACCACAACTTGATAATAATATAATGCAATATATAATGATTTCCAATATAATTCTAAAAGTTATGGTAAATATGCAAACTAGGAAGTTTGTGACTTGTCATTGTGCCTTACTTGTTGTGCATTACGCCAGCGTGTATCCTATGCCGCTTACAAGAATGTGTAATGGATGATGTGTTATGGGGATTTCGTCCGAGATGAATGTTCCGTCTMATGTAAACACGGTAATCATTCAACAGCGAGAAAAAATATGTGAAAAARGTAATAAAGAAACAGTGAGTGTCTTGTGCGTTCATAATAGTGTCTGCCTACAAAAGGAATTACAAGTACATGATTTTACCACTACTACTGTACTGGCAGTTTTCTCTTTTCGCCTTTCTTCGTAAATACTAGTCAGAAAGCGAGAAAATCATTAACTAMGATTGCRAATTAGAAATAGATTATTTTTTTACTAAAGTTGTGCTCAATTTKTTYGYAGTTGTTCATAACATAAGCATGACTTTTTGCGCTCAAAAGCAACTCTGTTTCGTGAATGAAGATCAACGACAAGAGAAACAAAACTCTGTTAACAAAGGAAAGCGATTMCAATGAAGAATTTCATGTATGTAAAAAAAAACCTTCTAAGAGGATTTTGGTAGTTAAAGAATATGACGTCATTASGATTTAGAGTTATTTGGAAAACATAGTACACGAGTGACAAATACTGCTGACCCTCTTGAATGCGGACGCGTGTAGTTCATTTCCGAGCACATCGTGACTTGTCGCCGTCAAAACTCAATATCCAGTAATTGATGTTTTTCATAAGCAACGTTTCATGTTCAATATCTCAGCTGAATTGATATTAGATTATGTACTGACTGAAGACAGCGTCATAACAGAAAAGCAATTAAAAACCGAATTGAATATTTAACTCAACGACCTAAAGAGGTTATTGATGGAACGAAAATGATATATGTATGTATAAAAGCTCCTTTCAATTACATCTTTTCAGAATATCAATTTCGAAGTTATTTTGTTACGTAAATTGATATTTACCACAGGATTACAGGTAAGATTATATTTCATATCCCCTGGTTTCAAAATGAATTTTTTCATAACAATTTGTGAAATAATTTTGTGCTCAACGCGAGGTGTGTTTGGGTATAAAGAAAACGAAATGATTTCTTTTAATCTAAAACAATGATTCAAAAACATTTAGCTTGCTCGTTTGTGCGTTCTTTAGTCGAGTCGAGAATTTAACAATGAAAACAAGAAAGTAAGTTCAACAGATATCCGCGGTGTTTAAAAACAACAACAATATTCTTACCTCAATTCATAGAAATCTCTGTAGAGGGTAGAGTGTCGAGTCTTGGAGGATCGTGCCGGTAATCAATTGATATCCGTAGTGAATCCTGGTTTTCTTATTTCCTGAAAAGATCGCGACAATATCTTAGCACGGCCAAAATTAGCGTATTTTACGTTGAGTGAAATTAATTAGTTTTTGGTTTTTGCAGATATTAAGCACTATCTGGTTGATAACAGACGCTGTGTGAGGCACTGGTGCGAGAGATATTCTGTTACGAGTTATATCGAGTAGATAACAACATGGAGAGCTTCCCTACTAGGAATGTAATGAAAAGTTGTAATGTAAACGGCCGTGCGTATTAATTGTCTCAATGGTAGAATGATTAGAAGGAAATCTCGTATCTCTGATATCTCATGGTCTATCATCTCAATGGTCAACAAAAATTCCCCAAAACACTTAATTTTCAATATAGTGTGTGTAAACTCAGTCCCGGAAGCAATTTCCCTAAAATCCACTTCAATTTTTAAGACTACTTTTAATATGAGAAGAAGAGAAATTTGACAGTTTTCTGACATCCGACATAACGCGAATAAAATAAAGAATCAACTCGGTAATTTGCGCGGCTTATAGATGGCAGTGCTTTTAGGGTTAATCTACACATAAAGTCCAATATTGATTCGGCGATCGACTCAAGGTCGCTAGTAAAGTGAGGTCTCCTTTATGGCTTTCTCTTCAGTGACAGTTATTACTCTTGCCTTTTAGAACAACTGATCAGTTTTTCAGCTTTCTCTTTATCGTAGAGATCGAATAGCTAAGTGATTAAATTCAATATTCAAATGTCAACAAAAAGGTTTTTTCTTCACTGTTGCACTCGGTCAATACAAGTCGGCCACAATGGAGATCAAGTATGAAAAAAGTTCCTAGTTTGAGATTCAGTTTTGCTAGAAATGAAGTTAGTAAACATGAAGGGATTTCAAGTGAAATTCACTATGAAAATAAAAGAAATAATTGCGACACCATRAAGGGATTACAACGTGAATCATGATATGTAGCCCCACAAGTCTGAATAATTGTACAGCGGTTTTTTATACAGTTGTTCGCTGACTCAAAATTATGTCAGTGTTTAAGGCAAAATTAATCGAGCCTCATCCTGGTTAACCCAGAGCGATCACTGCAGCGATCTTCACCAGTACAAAATAGAGTTTGATAGAGTGTCATTTTCACGGCAGTAAAACCGTGAAAGTGTTGTACTGTAGTTGTGTACGAGACAATAAGAATGTAACACTGAGATGAAATTATTATATAAGATATGAAATCCTGATTCAATCTGGTATTTTGATGTGACATTTTCTAATGTATCACTATCTCTGAGGGTTGGATGCAACGGACGGGGAGACTGGATCTACCAAATTCCCACACATGGATACGCCCCTCAACAGAATGTTTGAACTCAAATTTTATTAAGCTAAGTGTCAGTGATCACTTTTCCTGGTATCTTRTTTGTCTGTAGAGCAGTGCCCAATGATAGCGAAACGCTAGAACAGTAGCTCTCTGGTCCAAAAATTCATTTCGGTAAGAAAAAGACAAATTGCAAAAAAAATTACACATTAAAATCAATGTTACATTTAATTCAGAAAAAAGCCGTTTTATTTATTACTTGTTTTCAACACCTATTGACAATTGACTTGGAATTAATTTGTTTCCAGTAAGTGCAGGTAGTTATAGTGAGAGAGTGCTTTTATCATCAATCTATGCTTTGTATTAGCGACTAAAACCGAGTTCTTTTCTCAGCTCCAATAGACGCCGCGGCGTTTATTCATTGCTATCAATTCTCAGCGCTTGCCATTGCGGTGTTTTTAATCATTTCGTAATGTTGTAGCATTATGTGCGAAGAAAAGAGCAAAGCGGAAGGAAAGTAYACTCGTACTTTATCAATATTGTGATGGACACAAGCCTGTACCATACCTGATGGGTGAACCGTTTATATTTTTACTGACCCAAGCAAACAGTAAACCTGTCGCATAGTATCAAGCCTGCTTTATTCATTACATATCAAGATAATCCAAACAGAGAACAGCAGGCAGTGATATTACGGCAAAGAGAACTGTAACTGGATGTTAATATTCCGCCCGGATATGAAAAACCACTACCACAACAAAAAATACTCTCTAATCTGACAAATTGCTTATGAAGGAAATTACTCAGTGATATTATTCACTCGCAAAAATTCATAAAACTCTTTCTGACTCGKGTTAACTGACATAAGCAGGTAATATGTGAATAAATGATGCAGATAATAAGCAATATAATAACGTTCCTCCGCTCCCATTGATGGAGACTCGACCACGTGACACGATAGTGCCCGCCGCGGAAGAGTACTATCAGTGCATAAAACCCKCCAAAACTTTTGTTGTTGAATAATAAAAACAATAGAGCAGTTTCAATCTCATTTAACTAATGACCTCCGCGAAAGTGGTACGGTGCTCCATCAACCAACATTGGTAGCCGGTGATATTGACATATGAATCAGTGTGACTAGAAATAAAATAGAGAGAAAAATATATAATAATAATATAATTATAGAATAAAAAGGACAACTAATATTTAACTTAGTGAAGAACACCCCACTGTACACAATCAACTCCACTCCATAGAATATGTATGGATTATATTCACTMGATAAGGATCTATTGGATGGGTAGAGCTCTTTAACCTATCCTGTAATAAGCCTTACTTGTCATTACCACAATCTTTAATAAAAATTGTATTTACTTAATATTTTCTTAACAGCAAGTCACGGAAGACATTTTCATAAGGACATTGGAGGAACACAGTGAATGAAGGTATTCTGCTTATCATGGAGACCTTATCTTGGAGCTTGTCAACAACAAAGTAACAGAGAACCCTTGGCTTGCATCTCAGGTACAAGATGCAACACGGGAAGACACGTAAAAAGCGAAGGAAATCCATAAAGACCGCTTTACACAACACGACTTGTCTTGCGCGTCATCACTACTACACGATACAAATCTTTTGCTACACGCATCTAGTCATAGAGGCAGCCATTTACAAGTATCGGCCTTTACGAATTACGCTTGTCTTCATCGACAAAAGTTGGCCATCGCCACCCGGTATGCAATCATAGAAAATCGGCCATATTGAAATACCCTATCTAATCTTACTATAAGTGTATTGTACTCAAGCCAGCAATATATGTCGGAATATTGCTGAATTTTAATTTCAATCTCACATCATTTCATAGCAAAACAAGACGTT